GAAATCATTTTATCTAGCCATAGTTGGGTTTAGTGATAATTCAATAGAATAGACTATCGTTATATGACAATTTGCCATAGCTTATTATTAGCAAGTTTACACTTTTGGACCTACTATGGGCTCCAGCGTCAGTGACATACCAAAGGGAGAAAGAAACAAATAATCATACAGTCTCACGTTCAGAGAATTTTTTGTTTTTTGACTTTAATGACAAATATTTTGGCAGCTGCGACAACTACACATTATAATAATGATTCAGGATGATGATTGTCGGCGCTTTCGGGTTGCAATTTGAGACGATAGATTGCGCTTAGCTTTAGACCATCTCCAGCAGGAGGTGAAATTTCACCTCCTTCTCTCCTGCCACATCACTTTATTTAATTCAATAATCTTTATTTCCCTATCAACTCTATAGCAGGAGATTTTTCAGAAAGTTTTTTACACCCACCATAAACCACTTCACTTCAACATATACCCCACCATATTTATTCATTCTTTTTCCTATTTCATATATATTACTATATTATTATTATTATTATTAATATAACTCATATATTTTGTGAAGGATAGTTTTGTGAAGGATCCATGAAGAAACTAGCTTCAAATTGTAGAAAGAAGAAGAATAGGGTGTAGAAACTCAGATTTTTTTTTGTGTCCAAATGACACAAAGTTAGTCTCTATTTATAGAGTTTGAAAAATGAAAATTAATGGTATAAAAATTATAAATTAATTCATTGTATTTATCTCAAAAAATATCAAATAAAAATAAGGAGGAAAAAAATAAAGCTTGCCCAATAGAAATTCGCCATGTGTCCGCTTGCATCAAGGCGCGCGCGTGGGCTTGTCAGATTCATCCGGGGTGAAATTTTCACCCTCTCTCCGATCTCATTTATTTCACCCCACAAAAAATCCCCAGCTGCCTTCAAATACCCAACAAAAAATCCCCTGCTGCATATGGTCTTATGTCATATTATGCTTCTAATCATTAATCTTGTGGGCCATCGTGAAGAGATTGCTCGCTATGTTAATTAGGTTCTATTTAGATATCATGATGGTTTATTTATTTTCCTGATATTTTTTTTAAAGTAAAACATTATTAGGTTAAAAATTATAGTGTTTTTTAAGTTAAATCATTCTCAAATGAAAAACACATCACTTGTTTCAAAACACATTTTAAGTGTTTTAAGTTTAATGCTTTTGTTTTTGAGCTTGAGGAGGTGTTAACATATTATATTAAATGTAATTAATATATAGTTATTATCGATGTGGTTATTATATTATATTACATTATACTATACTATATTATAGTTAATCTAGTATATTAAAAATATTTATTAAATACTATAAAATATATTATATAATAATATAATAACATATACAATTCTAGCATTAATATTATTGATATTGCATTATGTATATACTAAATAATAATAAAATATAAATTTTAACTATAAAAAATTTCTGATAATAAATAATAATATAATAATAACTATAAATGATATCACTATAATATTATTAAATTTTTAATAAATCAATTGTAATAAACTAATAATCATAAAATAATAATATATTTAATAATAGATGATAATATATTATTATTATTATTATTATATATTTTATTATAAAGGGAATATATATAAATATTAATATGTCATATACACAATAATATAGTATTATAAAGTAAATAATTTTAATACTAAAATAAATTATTATATTATGAATATATATTTTACATTAACATCATAAATACTAATATATTATTAAAGTACTATTAATAAACTCTAACTTAGAAACTATAATATATTATATAATATTAAAATATTTATAATATACTAGTTATAACAAAATAATAACATTAATAATAATATTATATTATATTAATAATAGTATAATATTATACTAATAATAAAATAATATTATTTTATAAATATCATATAATAAATAACGATAACAAGTTGATATACCAAAATAATTAAATACATTATTATTTGAAAAAAATATGTAATAATTATAATATAATATAACACATAAAAGTGTAATATGATATTATAATAAATTATACAATATTATATTGTATTATATTTAATATTTATATTATTATAATAACACAAACTAAATATTATAATATTTTATTTATAATATATTTTATTATAATCAATATATAATATATTAATAATATGTTTAATACTAATGTTGTAACGTGTCAAACTGGTGTTGACCAAAAACACTTAACATGGTATTTTAAAAATATTTTAAGGGGAAAACACAATATCAAGATGTTTTTTTTTACAAAAACACAACATCATGATATTTTTTTTACAAAAATACAACAAAAAAAACACTATGGTATCTAAACGAAGCCTTAATCGTTATATCCACATTGAGTAGCCAAATAGTTGAAATCCTTGAAGTATTAACTTAGTAAGGATCTCCTTCATAGCTCAACGAACTTTATTTCCTAACATGAAGAGAGATGATGATGTTTATTTTGAGCTCCACTGTTTCTCTTCTACAAGCACTTGAAAGTAAAAGCTATCATATGAATTTTTCAGGGGTATCTACGAATGTTCTTCACTGCCATTTTAATTACACAATTAAATGATATACAGATGATTGTGATTAAACAATTAGAAAGGAGAGACTTCGTTTTGAAAAGGATTTGTGTCCATAAAAGAAGCATAAAGTGCAAGTAAAATTTTTTTAATTACTACATTAGTAAGGGCACGTAATTGTACCGGCTACCAAACATATTTTGTGGCTGTTTTGCTCACTACATATAATTTGCAGTTATTGTGACTTTCGCACGTGTACTTGTTATTGTAATTTCTTAGTATAATTTTGAAAGGATAAATTGAAGATAACTTCTCCTCTTCTATACGTTCAGCAACGCTTACCACTTCCTCAATTATTTTATTAGAATTTACTAATGATGGAGAGCGGAGGTTAATTATCTGCAATATTTTTTTCTTAAAGCTTTCAATCAAATGATGTTAAGTGTCACTAAAATAGTTGATGAATGGTAAGTGGAGATGAAAATCTAGCTAAGAGGGAGTATTTGCAATCTACCCAATTTAAAACTTAACTGCTGTTTGCAACCACATTTGTAGTTGAAATTGCAAATCATGCCCCTTTGATGCTCAAAAGATTAGAACTGTCACTTCTGTTCAAATGTGTTGTAGCCATCAATTGCTACTGCTATTATTATTTTTACTTGCATTGAAACAAATAAGTCTTGTTCCAACTACATACAAAATTTAAAGCCTTGTTTGTTGCTAAGGATATGTGTGGTTTGAAGTACTTGGAATCTAATATAATTCCATTTACATCCAATTTTTAAAAGTCTCATTTGGTTGGATGTTGTTGCGAGGCTAATAAATCTATACAACAACAAAATAAACCAAAAATGGTGCTGCCGTAACAACATCTGAGTTCAAGAGTAACCAACAACGAGAGTTGCAGGCCGAGACACGATGTTGCAAAACACTTGTTTGTTTCAACCACTCTCGATCAAACATATTTTAAATAACATTATAAAAATGAAATAAGTCAAAAATAGAAGTATTGAAATAACATTCAGAATATCTGAATATCCCACCCGGGCAAACTTCAAAACCAACCGCTAAAGTGCACGCTATTTTCTCTTTTGTTTTTCTTTTCCGCTTTTGTTTTCGTTCAAAGGGCATGCGAGTGCGGCCGAAGCTCCCAAACTGACTCCATCCGCTTTCCCCGTGGGACCCGCACACTGTTTGCTTCCCTCGAACTGCACTCGCGCGCGTTCCCCGTGACTGTTATTCTCACCCCCTTTTCCCCTCCGGCGGCCGGGACGGCGCGAATTCACTATTTTACCCTCGCGACCGCTACACGCGAATCCTCTCTCAGAGGAAAAAGGCGCGGGCATCCTCGGGCTTCGAACCCCATCAGGAACGAACGACTCCGTTCGTTGGAAGTGCTCTCGGGCCTTTGTCGCGTTCCTCGAGATTCGCGCGCGATGAGCATCAGCCGTTGGATGGACGTTAATGCGTGCTGCGGGTGTTCTGAATTTGAAGGGGACTAAAGTGAGCGATACATGTCATTTCAAGTTGTTACTTTTTTTAAGGGGTAGGAAGCAACTTCTCCGTTTTTTATGTAAAAGGAATAAAGAATACACAAAGAGAATGTTGCACAGAGCTAAAGTTATTATCCAATATAACAATAAAAAATAATGAAAAAGGTCTTAACCAGGCTTTCATCTTTTTATCAAGTTATTTTATTATTTTTCCTGACCTATATTTTTAGTTTCCTTTACTTTCATAATGGCCTAAATGACCAAATTGGTATTTTTAGTAGGACACGTTTTACGGTATGGTATTTTTATTTTCTCCGATAAAATTAAGGTATTAGTACTGGATTTCTGTTTGCAATAAGACATGAATGCTTGCTGTCGACGAAGAAGACCATCACGTAACCTTTTGCGAACCGTTTTAAACTCTCATGTGAAAGTGACTAAATGACATAACATTTATAAATGATAATTGACAGTCCAAAATTTATGAGACTTGTGTAAAATTTGCATATTTTGAAGTTTTTTATTTTAAACTGAGCATAAATATTGACAAATGTCTCACAAAAATGTCATGTGATGGTCGTATGACGCTTTTGCACCAGATTCTTAGCCAAGGACAAGAATTCATGTCTTATTATAAGCAGAAATCAATAATTAATACCTTATATTGTCGAATAAAAATAAAATTTCATATCGGAAATCGTGTCTTACTAAAAATACCAATCTGATACTTTAGACCCTATTTTCTTTTACTAGTTTGCAACACGCTAGTAAATATGCAACAATGGCCTAAATTGCAAACTAAGGAATTATAAGGGTTTTAAGTGAAAAATCAAGGAACACACTGAGGTAAGAATGTTTCGGTTGCCGCCTCAAAAGAGACCGGAGCTCTCTAATCTCTTTAATTAATGCTTCTAATTAATCTCTCCCTCTCTCTTGTCGCTTTCTTACCCCCAAATGCTTAAATACCCCCAAAATTTCAATTTAAAACCTCTTGTAATTCTCATTTTCCTCTCTCTCTCTCTCTCTCTCTCTCTCTCTCTCTCTCATATTTCGATCTCTAGGGTTTTCTATGCGGAGAAATGCATCGTGCGTCTCGAGAGAAGAGGGGAAGCAGCAGCAGATCGCGATCCAGAGAGAAGAGGGCGATCGTGGATCCTAATATCGTCGCGGTGGAGCGAGCTCAGAGAGAAGGTTTGATCTCTGTTACTTTCGAAATTTGAGTGAAAATGTGTTTTCTTTTTGTTGAACTTGATTTGGTTTAGTGGAGAATTTGGGAATTGAGGTTCCAAAGAATTTTCCGGTTTGAAATTTGAAAAGAGAGAGATTTAGTGATGGTGTTTGATAAGTTGATTACTATTTGTAATTCATTAATGGATTGATTTGTAGATTTTTTTTGTTAAGCAGAGTTTGAGCTTGCCTGTTACTCCTTTTTTTTGGTTCTTTCTTTAAAATGTGATTTCGAAATTGATTTCGGAATTGAGGTTGGAAAGATTTTTTTTTTTTAGAAGTTTAAATTTTCGGATTGAACAGAGAGAGGTTTAGTGATGATAATTGGTAAGTTGATTAGAACTTTGTAATTAATTAATGGGTTATCTACAGTTTTTTATGTTAAGCAAATTTGAGCTCGTCTGTCACTTCCTTTTTGTTATTTTTCGAAAAAAGTGATTTCTTTTTTGAATTTGATTTGGTTTTAGTGGAAAATTGGGAAATTGAGGTTGGAAAGAATTTTCTTTGAAGAAATTTAAATTTGTGGTTTTAACAGAGAAGGGTTTAGATTAGAATTTTGGAATTCATTAATGGGTTATCTATAGTTTTTTTTGTATGCTAAGCAGATTTTGAGCTTGTCTGTCGCTCCCTTTTTGTTTTTAAAAAAATGAGATTTCTTTTTTTTATTTACCAAATTTGATTTGGCTTTAGTGCAGAATTGGAGAATTGAGGTTAGAAAGGATTACGTTTAGAGATTGAAAACTGTAATTTGAAGAGAGAAACTTCAGTGATCCGATTTAGTAAAATTAATTAGAAAAATAATTCAGGGGCTAATTTATAGATTTTTTTAGAGCAAATTTTGAGCTTGTCCGTCTCTCCCTTCTTGGTTTAGTAAAATGTGATTTGTGTGTGTATGTGTGGCGAAATTTGATTTGGTTTTAGTGCAGAATCGTGAAATTGAGGTTGGGAAGAATTTTCTGTTTTGAAATTAAAATGTGGTTTGAAAAGAGGAGCTTTAATGATGACATTTGGTAAAGTAATTAGAAATTGTAATTAATTAACGGGTTAAGTTATCCATTTTTTGTAAGCTAGTCTGGCTCTCCCTTTTGGTCCTAAAATATGATTTTTTTATTTAAAAGTTGAAATTGATTTGGTTTTAGTGAAGGAATTGAGCTCTTGGAATTTTTTTTCTTCCCCTGAAAGTTCTGTTTAGAGAGTAAAAATTGTACTTAAAGAAGCTTTAGTGATGACACTTGGTAAGGTAATTAATTAACAGCTTAATTTATTAACAAGATTTATTCTGATCCTTTTTTTCTTTTTTTAATTTGGGTTTATTTTTTCATTGATTATGGCTTTTCTACAAATAACTCCTTTACTTCAAGTGATCTTTGGTACTGCTCGTGTCTGTTTTTTTGCATTGGAGTTTTGCTACTCCAACATCTCCAGCTATTTGGTGACACTTTCTGATTTTTTATATAATGAGTATTTATTCTGTTGGGGCGACACGCCCACTCGCCGCGGAAGCAAATCACCTCGAGAAAAAGCCCTGAGTTTTGTTTTTCACAAAACTCAAGCCAAACTCGATGTTCCTGTTTCGATATGAAATAAGAACAAAAGTGAATATCTCAGCGAGGTGAGATATACACTCTTCCCGATATCAAATCTAGATCTGAATATCGAGGGAACGACAAGCAATGGCAAATATACAGAGAACAATAAAGAAAACATAAGATTTACGTGGTTCGGCAAACTTGCACAACCTATAAGCTCGTCCCAAAGACGAGGCTTTGATTTTACCCAAGAGAAGATGACCTCTTTTTTGTACAATCTCTCCAAGCACTCTCTCTTTTCTCTCTTCACGATCTCACCTTTTTCAGATCTGAAAAACTCTCTTTTTCGTTGATGACAGTCCCCTTACTCTCTTAAAAAATCCTAGGAACGAAGTTCCCATTTATATCAAGAAAACAAGGTTCAAAACGAAAACAACTCGCCTGCTCCGGTTACGCCCGAGACACCCCGAGGTGTCTTGGGTGCCTAGACACTTCAGGGTGTCTCGCGCTCACAATTCTCCACCTCGTACATCATTTGATAAACCTTAAATTTTGGACGAATACCAGAAGAACACCACGAACATCACAAGAGAGATCTGAAACACTAAACCAGACCAAAAAACCAGTTGCACCATTATACCATGGCTGTCTACGTACCATCTGACCGAGATCAAGCTAATCCTAGTTCTGCACATTGTTCTCTATATAGTCTCCACCTCACCCCATCACCGTCCCGAATGACCATGCCCTCTTAGGCAGATCAATACGGGCTGATATGAAGTAAGTCCAAGCAATGCTGTAACTTACTACCTGTTACCACCTTGGTCAACATGTCTGTGAGATTCTCATTTGTGCACCTTCATGAGAGAAATATCACCTTCCTCTATGACATCCTGTATAAAATGATACCTGACGTCGATATGCTTGGTACGTATATGATGAACTTGATTCTTAGCCAAATGAATCGCACTCTAGCTATCACACCACAAGTTCGCATACTCCTGCTCAATCCCCAAATCATCTAGAAGATCCCACAACCACAATGCTTCCTTCACTCCCTCTGTCATGGTCATGTATTCTGCTTCTGTTGTAGAAAATATCACTATAGCCTGTAACATCGATCGCTAACTAACTGGAGCACCATGTATTCTGAACACATAACCAGTAGTAGATCGTCGTCTATCTAGATCGTCCGTATAATCTGAGTCTACAAACCCATCAATCTGATACGTATCTCCAACAAAACACAAACCCGTATCAGCGGTACCCTTCAAATATCTCAGGACCCATTTTACTTCTTCTCAATATGCCTTTCCAGATTTGCCATGAACCTACTGACCACACTGACTGCTTGTGAAATATTTGAACGTGTACACACCATTACGTACATTAAATTGCCAACTGCGCTAGCATAAGATACACGTTCCATGTGTGCCTTCTCTTCTGCTGTAGTGAAAGATTGCTTACCTGAGAGCCTGAAATGTGAAGCCAATGGAGTCACCACTGACCTATCACTTTGCATCCCAAACCTTACGATAACCCGCTTAATATAGCTCTTCTGACTCAAGAACAATCGTCGATTCACCCGCTTTCTTCAAATCTCCATACTCAGTATTTTCTTAGCAACGCCCATGTCTTTCATCTCAAATTGTTTACCAAGTTGAGATTTTAACCTATCTATCTTCACCTTGCTTCTCGAAGCAATAAGCATGTTATCCACATACAAAAGAAGATAGATATAATCACCTCCACAAAGTTTTCGAATATAAACACAACAGTCATAATCACTTCTGGAAAACTCATGTTTTAGCATGAAGAAGTCAAATTGCTTGTACCACTGCAAAGAGATTATTTCAATCCATAGAGTGTTTTCTTAAGCGACATACATGATACTCCTTATCCTCAACCTTGTAACCCTCAGGCTGATACATATAGATTTTCTCCTTAAAGTCTCCATGCAAGAAGGCTGTTTTGACATCGAGTTGTTCCACCTTAAGATCACAATGAGCAACAATACTCAATAGCACCCGAATAGAAGTGTGTTTCACCACTGGAGAAAAAATCTCATTGTAATCTAGACCCACTCTTTGTGCAAACCCCTTAGCCACTAGTCTAGTCTTGTACCTTGTATCGCCAAGCTCGGAAGGATCATCCTTTCTCTTGTATACCCACTTACAACCAATAGCTCTTCTCCTTACGGGGAATGAGACTACCTCTCATGTTTGGTTCTTCCGGAGAGATTCCATCTCTTCCTCCATCGTAGCCAACCAACTCTCACTATTCCTGCCCCGAATAACTTCTTTGAAGGTGACCGGCTCATCATCCTCCATCGAGAGTGCGTACTCAACCAAATTTATCTGATCATAGTGCTTCAGAGGCTGAACTAACCCCAGCTTCTGAACCTGCTTGTATGCTTATCTTAGCCTAGTGGAAGCTAAACTATCTTCGAGCTGTTGCTGTCGTAGTGCATGTATATTTTCTTACTGAACCTCCCCCCGTTCAAGCTCATCATCACTCTTTTCCCGAGTGTCTCCATGATCCTCCTCTTGAACACGACTAGAAACTAATTGGTCCTTAGGTTCTATGTCAATCATCTGGGACTTTAAAATCCCAATAATCTCAACACCATCATTCTCGAGCGCTCTAGCTTTTGATAAAGCTATCATAGATTTCTCATCAAAGGTAACATCTCTGCTAATCACGAACTTAGAAGTTTCTGTACACCAAAGGTGATAACCTTTTACGCTTTTGCATACCCCAAGAACATTGCCTTCTTAGCTCTCGCGTCAAGCTTTCCCTCGTTCACGTGGTAGTAGGCTGTACATCCAAAAATTTTGAGCCTATCATAATCTGCATGCTCCCCTGACCATACCTGATAGGGTACATCACCATCCAATGTCGAATGTGGAGAACGATTCACTATGTAACAAGCTGTAGCAATCGTTTCTGCCCATCATTCTTTATCCAAACCAATATATGATCGCATACTCATTACTTTCTCCCGTAGTATACAGTTCAGTCTCTTTGCGATTCCATTTTGTTATGGAGTAGACCTAACTGTTTAGTGTCGAGCAATACCCTCCTGATCACAGAATTTCTTGAAAGTACTCTCTGTATACTCTGTACCGTTATTAGATCTCAATGTCTTCAAATTTTTGCATGTTCTGTTCTTAATCATTGTTTTCCACTTTTTGAATGTTTCGAATACCTCATTCTTATGCTTAAGAAAATAAACCCAAGCATATCTGGAATATTCATTTATAAACGAGACAAAATACCTAGAACCGTCCTTGGAAGTTGTCGGAGCCGGACCCCAAACATCTGTATGCACATAGTCTAATATACCTTTGCTATTGTGCTTGCTTTTCAGGAACTGAACCATGTGCGCCTTTCCGTACACACAATCCTCGCAAAAATCCATGCAATGTTTCTTCA